TTCGAATCCAGTCAAATTTAGAATTTGTCTAGTCAATATTGGAATTTTTATATTTTTTTGTAGTGATATTCCAATTCTGACTAGGCTAATTCTAAATTTGACTGGATTCCAATTCTCTCTACAACATATACAGACGAAAAAAAAGAACTTTAAACATATATTTATTGTTGAATTTGACATGTTTCACAAATTATATATATAATATAATGGAGTAGGTTAAATTTTATTGAATTATATATGAACCGAAAGAAAGCAAGCGTTTTTATTTTTGTGTTTGCTATATGATAGATTCAAAATCAACACTAACAAACAACAAATCGTATATTAAAATATTATATTAGTTGCAGAACTGACAAGTGAACAACAATATCAAATTTTCTTACTTATAAAGGTGTCGACTTAGCATTAATCTTGGCATTATATTACATTAATAGTGCTAACATATATATATATATTGTGTATTAATTAATGTTAATTTAATAATACTAGAAAAGCATTAAATTATTTTTTTAAATTCTAATACCTAACCATTATATAACAATAAAAGAGCATTAATAAAAACAAAAAAAGAACTATTTCTTTTATTAACTTCATCAGAACAAAAACAAACTTACAACAAAGGAAAATAAGTATAAAAATCTTTTGAATGTACAATTGACTTTTCAAAAATTAATTTTTTCACATTAACACAATTAAGACGTGTTGTATCTCTTGTGAAGTTTTCTGTAACAATTCTTAATTGATCATAATCGACTGTTAATTCAGTAAAACGAGGTAAATGTGTTTTTGTTTTATTGAGAAACTGTTCGACATAATCAATATGAGTATAGAAGAGAGAAAGCGATATAAGGAAAGGATATTCAACAATTGAATGCAATTGATTATCATTCGAATTCAATTTGTGTGACATCTGTAACTGTGGATGAATATTAAGAACACGCATTGTTTTAAGTAATGGGAAAAAGCGAGCAATTCCTATGAAAAATTCATGCGAAAATGGAAGTATATCATGCACCATCAATTTAGTAACACGACTAAAAGTCATTGATGGCAAAGTATTTCCAACATATTCAAGATAATCAAATACAAACGGTAATGAAAAAATATTGCATATAGCACTAGTGGTAATTCGAGTTAGAAAACAGCATACTTGTTCATATCCTATGTTAAAAAAAGTTTGTTCAATATCGTGGTTCGATAAGTGATGAACCATATGCTTTCGTTTAGTTTTGGTACTAATATAAAATGTAAATTTAGAAAGTGGTGGCATATGAATAAGAATTTTTTCGTTAATTTGAGTGCCATCGACAAATGAACTTCGTTTCTCATTAATAATATTCAAATTTAATTCTTCAAGATTAAACATACGACGAAGAAGAGGTACAACATGAGTATCATATTCATCATTGGAACAACGACAGGTTAACGAGAAATATTTCATATTAGGCAGCATATCCTAAAAAGTACAAACCAGTATTTCTTAATATATTGTTATCCATTAGAAAAAAATACGATAATATAAATCGAAATACTTTAACTTGATAAAATCTATCTAATCGTATATAAACTTACAATATTGTAAACAACTGATGGATGATATTCTGTACTATTTATATTAACAATCAACATAGACAGATGTTTGAGACGACCATCAAGTAAAGCAAAACAATCTTCAAAAGTATTGATATGAAGACATAATTTGTAAAGATTTGAAGAGAAACAAGTAGCCAAAGATATATAATTAACCGAGAAAATTGGCGGTAATCCGATAACAGATAAGTGTTTCAGATTTTCAAACAGTTTGAAAGTATATTCGTACACAAATTTTGCATTTTTATTCATTAATAATATGTTAATATCGTTCTTGTATACAAGAATAAGATCTGTTATTTGTGGTTGAAAAATACGTCGAAATGGTGATTCGACTAAATAAAGAACAATCAAATATTGTGCAATATTTATACTGTTTTCAATGAAATCTTTTTCTTTACTTGAATACGGAAATTGCTTACCTGTAAAATAATGTGAAACAATATAATCGTCAACATTATACAGTTTAAGTTCAGTTAAATTAGGAAAACCAGCAGCGAGTAGAATACGTTCCATAGACTCTGATTCAAGAATAAGGGATCTAACATTGTAATTTATTTTAGGCAAGATATCAATGCAGTATCGATTAACTATCGAATCAGCAATCGGCAAAACATCATTACTTGTCGTTGTTAATACAAAATTGAGAGTCTTAATGAAAGCTTTGCTTTGTATTATAGCATCAAGTCGTTGATTATCAATACCAAATAATGAATAGAGAACATCCATATTGTTAAGCTTCTTCAGAATAAGAAGTAACATTTCATTAGGTAAATCAAACAGGGTAACGCTTGACTCACACATTCTAATTTTGATTGACGTAATGCTTTAGATGCGTTTATATATATGTATTCATTGTTTCTTTGTTGTTCATTGACGCCGTTCAATAAAATGAATGGATGTCCCTGCCGAAAAAAACGAAGAAAAAGTACAGCTTTGATAAGTAAGGCCCCGAACACACTGAAAAAAATAAAACAAAGTTAACCAATGAGATTGCGTAAAACGCTAAAACAGAGTTAACTCATCTTTTTGAGACGAGTTAACTTAATGCGACAATCGCATATCATGTCGCTTCTCCAATCGACAAAATAACTTGTGGTGACTCCAATTTAAAAATTTTTTTCGTCATGACCTATGCACACGTTGTTTGGGTGTGGGTGTGGGTGTGGAGGGGTGTGGGTGTGGGTGGTGTGGGTGGGTGGGGTGTCGGTGTGTGTGGGTGGGTGTGGGTGTGGGTGGGTGAGGGTGTGGGTGATGAGAAGATATCCACACCCACGGCTACACCCACACTCACACCCACACCCACCCACACCCCACACCCATCAAAACGTCGAAAAGTCTTAAAATATAAAAGCTCGTTTCTCACTGACCGGTTCCCGATCAATGAAAGCTCGGCCAAAAAAACGACTTCGGATTCAGATTCTGGGCCCTCGATAACCTACAGCAAAGTTCCATCAAAACGTCGAAAAGTCTTAAAATAAAAAAGCTTGTTTCTGATTGGCCGGTTCCCGACCAATGGAAGCTCGGTCAAAAAGAACGAGTTCCGATTCGGATTCTGGGCCCTCGATAACCTACAGCAAAGTTCCATCAAAACGTCGAAAAGTCTTAAAATAAGCTAACCTCTCACATATGTTTTTTGACCTTTGTTACAAGGGCGGCCACAAACTTTTTTTTCACATGATCCTCCCTACAGTCGAGGGAATATCAAATCGATACAGGAAACATACATCTTGATGAATAAAACAGCGCGCAAAATTCATCAAGATATGCCAAAAGTTACCGAGATATAAGCATCTCAGTGGTCTGGATCTTTTTTTCTTCTTAGTCACAAAATTCTGAAGTTACTTTCCCCTTTTTCCACTTAGTTTCTTCGGACCTTAATGAATCCTGATATCCATTAGTATCAGCTTTTTCCACCCTCGCTTTTGTACATTTGAAATAATTTATTCTACAATTCATCAGGATCCAGGATCCGCTTTTCCCCCCTTGCTTTGCAATAAAGCCAATAGTATTTGATGTAGTTCTTCATGCTAATCCAGAATATTATATCGATTTACAAAATGCATTATAATTATGAAAAACTTTAAATACGATGTCCGTGTTCTGTAGTTTTTCTAGTGTATCAAAGGAATTCAGTTTCTTAGCAACAATATAGAATATGGGCAATATCATATCTTTACTTTACTATTAATTGGACAGCTTCGAATTTACTTGTTTACTGGTAACTGAGCAACGCTTACGTTAGTATTAACCTAAGTAACTTGCTTCCAAATGGCTTCTAAAGTCAAGTTCAAACAAATTTCAAAATTAACTAGGTATCTTAAAAGTTATCTGATAGCTAGTGAATAAGTAGGTCAAAGCTGTCGATAAATAAATAACTTTCAGTAACCAAGCTATTGTTAACTTATTAACCTTCAATTTACCGAGTTACTAATAACTTTGTTGCTGTCGATCAACTTCTTGAAAAACCATTATTTATTTTGTATCGACTGATATGCAATGTACGGTGTTTTGACAAAACTGTGTTCAGTGACTTTAGTACACTAATACGTTTATATGTAACAGTTTCCAAAACAGCAGCTAAAGCTGAAAAATCTTTTAGTGTTATCAATCGAATAAATATATATCTACGATCAAGTATGTCCTTATTCCTCATATTCACATAGAAAAATTCAATAAATTAGACTTGAACAATATCTGCTCTGATTTTATTTCCAAAAGCCACGCTAGAATAGCTTTTTTGTGGTCCTGAATAGCGTTTTTTAGCTCTGTTTGTTCTATTCACTTAAGATTAGGCTAAAAATTTTTATGTACGCGCTACTCATATCCTAGCAATGTTAATACTGCAGTAAAATTTTTTATTATCTTCTAAATTTTGAAAAAAACTGATTGCAGAAATATGTTTTCAGTAGTGAGAATTACAAAAATAGAAGTTTGTCTGGTTTTTATATCGCCTTTCATCATGTTTTGGAAAAACATTGGAGCCTATTCTAGATTAAAGGTATTTCACCGTCTATGCCAACACTCTAAACACTTTAACATTACTCTCGTATGAATGCATTTAATGATCAAAAGCTAGTTTTCAGCATCATCATCATATCATGTGCGATTGATTTATTTATCTGATCATTTTTGGAAGTTTTTATTTGCACTACAGCACATAATAAAGTATAGTTTGAAAAATAATTCAAGAATCGATTTATTTAATATGGTTATTTGATTATGGGTAAAGATAATTTATTGATTAAATAAAAATTTTGTAAATGAACGCATATATTAATTAGATTAATATGCTACAGAAAAAAGATAGGAAAGAAAAAAAAAGGACAAAATATACGAACGACAATAAAATAAAAAGAAAACATGACAATAGTAATAATGATTCAAGAAATAGTTATATTCAAAAACTGTTAAGTTGATTCATTTGATGGAATTTGTATATGAAGTATATCAACAAATAATTGTTTGAAGTTGTCAAGGCGAAATGTTAAATTTTCCAACTCAAACTTCAATTCTTGATTTTGATTTTTCAAACTTAAATATCGAGCCATCAATTCAGTTCGTTCTGTCTGTTTCTTTTTACGATATTTTTCAGCTGCTGTTTTATTTTGATCTTTTTTTCTTAATTTACGTTCCAATGCTGATAAACTTGTTTTTTTTGTTGATTTTTTTCTTGAGATTCTAGGTGATGAAATTTCTGATGACGTTGATGGTGATGATGGTACAGTCATATCATCTGTTTTTTCAGATTCAACTGTACATTCTTCTCCAATCCATGGAAAAGCTGAATCATCAGATATTGATGAATTAAGAACATCCGCTTCAGGAGATGGAATTGATGACTGACTGATGTATTTATCAAGTTGTAAAAAATCCATTGATAGTTCTAATAAAAAATAAAAATTAGTCTTGAAAAAAATCATAAATTTTCTTTTTGTTTTACCTGTTTTATCAAGTTCATTTAAAACGGGAAATTCAAATGTTGAAAATAAGTCATATTGTTGTTGTTGTTCATTATTATCACTATTTTCATTCATATTCTCTTTTGTTGGCAATTCATATTCATTTTTCTTTGATAGAACTGAAGAAAAACAAATATCGTTATCATCAAATGAAAATAAATCATTTGATGTTAATATTGGATTTATAGGAGTGATACTGTTGACATCACCATCGTTGATGGTTGGTGTCAAAAGTTCTCCAACTTGATTGTTTTGAAAATGCATTTTGTTCGTGTATATATGAGACCGACAATGCGGATATAATAGTGGCAAAAGCCATTTTGATTTGCATGATTAAAGCTAAATAAGAAAAGAAATCATTGATTCTAGTATTTGCGATTAAAATAAGATCAACGGTTCGAACTCGATGAAAAATTATTCAAAAGAATAATGAGCCAATTCTTTGAAGCTGTTTGTTGGCCTGTACTTGATTAGGAATTTCTTTTTGAGAAGGATAAATTTACATTCCGGAAGAGGGCAAGGGTCAAGCTCGATTCAGAGTATTGTCATTTCTTTACTGCTGAATAAAAACTCCGTAATGACAATGAGCAAAGCTCTTTAGTACCATTTCATAAAATATTTGTTTCATATAGATGATTGGATATGTTCTTACTATAAGTGTGTCATTATATCTTATTTCAGATATATTCTATTAATGATAGAGTTGAGTTCAGTACTCTAAAGAAGAATTGTTTCAACTTACTTTAAAAAAGGGCACGTTAAAGTTCGTGCTCGCTAGCCGTAGCTGAGGCGCCTAAGAAGGTCGCAACTGTTTCAAAAAGTCATTATTTGTGAATATGTCAAAAAATACGAATGCTGATGAAATATATTTGAAACATAATTATGTTTTTTCTATGAGTAACAAGAAGCATGATGCAATGCTATTAATTGCTATATGACGCATGAAATGAGAAAGATTTGTTTTTATGTATCGAATTTGGAAAAAAGTGATTATCTGAAATTTATAATAATTCAGAAGGATATTAAAAAAATAATATTCTTTAAAAAAGGAAGTAAATCTACAATAGATGTCGCTACTTTACAAAAAAAAATATTTGAATAAAATATATTGTTCTATTTTTTGAAAATATTGTAAAGGAAATTTTGTTCGGAGTTTTATATTACATTGGAAAAAGACCAAATTACAATAAAATACATCAAATTATGTCTGCGCTCAAACTAGTTTTCTAGAGAACTTTTGACAAGGTTTTATTCTTGTTAATTAAGTTTCTATTGATCGCTTAGAGAAAAGAATGATGATCGAGACAGACTATAACAATATAAAAGATAAAAGAACTTATCCATTGAATATATCGAAAACAACCATCGATGTTTCACTTGTATGAAATTATTTTTCAACTTTGATTAACAATTTTTGTTTGCTTTTGAATTTTCTAGCTTGATTATGTTCGAAAATTAATCATATTGCAAGAATTAAGAGATGAAATGTGGACAGATGATCTATTAACTACTCTAGAAAAATATCTTTCTTCAAATCAACAACGTGTTCTTATTGTTTATGTTGATCAACATACTTCATCTTTACAACTTCTTCATTCAATTCCATCTACTGCTACTTCAATTAATACTATTTATAATTTATGTTATTTTATTCGTAAAATTGATGCATCAGATTGTATTATATCAATTGATGATTTTCTTAAACAAATTCAATTTGGATGTATTAACGGAAAATCAATTCCATGTTTAACAGCACTTGTATCAATATTGTTTGGACCATTATTTATGGATATTACTAAAATACAGGAGAGTATGTAATAAATTCTCAATATACTATTTACATTTATTTTGTATTTTATAGTGATTAAAAATGATTTTGCAAATGAACTCAATCAATTTTTAGCAACATTCTATGAAATACAATATAAAAATATGTTATCGATGACATATTTATTTATTCCAAAAGATGGTGTTGATAAAACAATTGAAGAACTTGTTAAAGATAAAGCCCTCGTCACAAGATTTGAAAGTAGATATACATTCAACGATTTTTATTTATTGTGTATCACTAAATCTTTTTGATTTCAACTTATCATATAAAACTTCAATAATAATTCAAAAATGATGTTGTTCATTTTGAAAAATCAATTACTACGTTCTTGTTAAACAAATCAAGAAGAAGATTTGAGGAAGGAGCTATTATATAACTGACACCTGCCGTTTAAACTTCTGTTCGACTTACAAACAGATCTCGATAAGATCAGCAAAAGCCGAAAAAGGGTTCGTCTCATTCAGTTTTTGAAGTCAAGTTATGACTAATTTATTGAAATTTCGCTCATAGACATTTAGGTTGTGTCTTAAGATATGCTGAAAGTATCAGCCGAAAGTATGTTCTTTCGTTGAATTATTAAATCTTACTATAAATATGAGTCAAAAATCCAATAAACGGATGATAACTCAGTGCCAAAGGTCTATGAGGATGAATTCTTTTAAACTGTTGTTAGTCTTACTGAGACTTCCTTCTGGGCCCAATATGAGCTAAAACGGCAAATGTTAGTTGGGATACATACCTCATGAAAGAAATATTGTTGTGTAGCTATTTTCAAAAAATAAAATTTCAACTAAATTTATCTCTAGATTCGTATATTTGTGGATTGTTCTATGATGCAATAACGAAACTTAAAAAAAAAAAGATTTTAAAATTTAAAAAAAAATATTTCTCTAGGTGTTATGCTGAAATGGCATCATCAATTGAAAGATGTACTCCTTATTCAAGATCGTTTAACGAATATAAATGAGCAATCCATTGGTATTCATGAAGAAATAAATTTTTGGCAAGAGTGTCTTACAGATCTTCATCATATTCGTAAACAATTACAAAGAACTGAATTAAAAAATATAATTCATGTATTAATCTTGTCAAAATCTGCTTATATTGAACAATTTTTACAAGCTGAAAATGAAGTTCAAGTAAAAGATTTTTTTTTTGAAATATTATAATATTTTAATAATCAGTAAACTTAGGAATTTATTGAATATGTAGAAGATTGTTTAAAGTTTTTAAAAATCTTGGATGAACCTTCTTTTCAACTCAATGATATATCATTAGAAAAATTAAAAGCAGTGATTATCGATATATTCTATCGAATTTTAATTACTTGGCATCATTCAAAATTCTTTGCAACTTCGGAAAGGATTAAATTAGTTGTTAGCAAGGTTTGTTGTCATCTACGATTTATTCAAGGAGATTTTCGTCTCATTCATTTGAATTTTGAATGCATTCAACAAATAAAATCAAAGGCTTAACAAATAAACAACAACGGATGATGTAAAAGAGTCTATAGATTTAGTCATCACCTGTATCTAAGCATTTTCAAGCAGAACAAAACATGATTATTCTTCATTTAACTTTGTCTTTTGTTTCATAAGATTTATTTTTTTGAATAAGATCTTATAGTATGAATAGAACAATGGGTGACAACTTCCTGTTCTTGTCACATAAACTGGATAATTGAAAATTTGATTTTCTGTTAGTTCTAAGTATCTGCCAGTTTTATTTCAGGACATTTGTGCAGTTAGGCTACATAATCTCGACCGAAATAAAATGTGATTTTCAGTCGTATTAGCTCATGTAACACCAGTAGTTGATCATAATCCGTTTCATTCATTAAATAAAATTTGTTAGATATTTATGAATACATATACAAATATTGACTCTTTGAGAATACACCAAATTAAAATGAATTACCGAAAAAGACTTGCAGCCATATAACAGAAGAATCCAAAAATAAACTCTGCGCTACATATGGCATCTGTTGTGAAATTCTCAGTATGATCTAACTCCAAACAAGTACTCCTTAAAGATCGATTTTCTAGAGATTTCATCATATATTGAAACAAAGAACTTGATTTGTCATAAACTTAAAATTTCCGAGAAGTTACAGAATCAGTTTTCACTTTTAAATTCATACTCGGTTATACCATTAGTTTAAATTTACAGTATGTTTAAATAGACACCGATGCAGCAAAAGTTCCTTTTTTGTGTTTTGTATCATATCGCTAGCATTTATTTTTATATGATAATTCGTTCGAATAAAGGTGATTAGGGTTAATTTTTTCAGAGTATGTTTTGATGCTTAGAAATTAGCTCAGAATCTAGAGATATATCTATTTTTACTCTGTACAGTCACGTCGCTATCAAATGAAATCACCCATATACAGTGTTTAAGAAAGTTGATTTCGTCGTAGCATTGAGATTTTCGTTTGACTGGCGACATATAAACTATACTAATTTTAACTATTGTAATTAGATTAGCAACTACTACTGTTCTTGATTGATCTATTATAGATTTGAATGAATATTTAAAATGTCCTATTGTATTAGTTTAGTATGAACATATAAAAAAAGCGACCCATTTTTATAGTTAACGTTGTCTAATGAATTAAACCTAGATAATTGAATGTGATCTCTCTTTATAGATAAATAATCAAATCATCGGTCGATGTTCTCGCTCAATTAGTATTAAACGTCTTTTTCAAGGCTATGTACTTTCAACACAAAATATTCTTCAAGAATGTTTTCAAATAATTGATCTTTATATGGACACATGTTTACATGTAATTCTTTATTCAAAGTTTATTGTTTCTTTAATTTCTTTTGTTCGATCATTTTCACGAATCATAGATCTTAACTATGCATGATAAACATTCGAATAAACCGTTAATGATAAATAATTTTCAAACAGATGTTCTTTTTTCTTCAATTCAATTATTTCGACAACGTCTAACTGAAATCGAAGAAGTATTTTAGTTTTTCTTTAACTTTAATAAAGAAACATAGAATATTTTTAGATTTGTGAATGTATGAAACTTTTTGGATGGTATCGAGATAATAAAAAAGAAAGTTTACCTCTGTTTGGTGGTATCCAAGGGGATGAATATCAACATACACTCGAAAAAAGTCAACAAGCATTCGATCGAGCATTATTTCTATTAAAACGTTATTCAAAACATATGCTTGATATCTCCACTCATTCTCATTCCATATGGTCTCAAGAATTGAAACGGTCAGTTTATATAAGAAAATTCAATTTAAATACAACGAATTCAGTATAGAAGAGACGAAGAATCTAGTCATGTCAGAAATACAACTAAAATTTAAAGAATCATAACAATCGATAATCGTAAAATAAAAATTAATAAAAGGCCTATTTCATGGCTATACTCGTTATTGAAATGTTCAAAATTAACCTATTGATAAGTAGAGTGAGGACGAAAGTATTTGTACTTGTACTTATGTTTAAAAATGCACTATAATATCTTTTTGTGTATTTGAAGTATCTTTCTGTTGTATTGAATTTTCGGCAATGACTAGGAGTGTTTCGAGTTCACCAATATCGAAAAGAAAGCCAATCATTTAGGAGGCTAGTCATGAGATTTTTCCGTAAGTTGTGAATCGATTATTTTAGCTTTCAGTTCCTAACAATATTCTATTCGTAAAGCCATGTGTAAGTCTCTTGCTCAAATTTATGATTGTGTCTAATATACATTTCATTTTTAAGTTATTTCAGTTCCTTCGTTTTTAATCTTATTCAAAAACAAGACTGTGTTAGCTGCTAACTGCTTGAAAGCATACGTTCAACATCATAATACCTAACGTTTGTAACCAGATTTATTTTATTTCAACCTGCAATAAAATTAACAAGTTCTTTTTTTGTACATCAGTTAAGGGACAAGTTAAAATTCAAGTATCATACTTCTACTTGTGTTACCTCTATTGATAGCATTGGTTCTTTCTTGTCAGTACATATTTTCTTTCTACATTTTGAATTGACATGTAATAATTATGCGCTGTGGTTGGAGAATAAGTGAAGATGAAAACAAGAAGTAAAAAAAAACCTAGCTGCAGATAACAATCGCCACAGACGACTGAGCTGATGGTTTTTCAATATGAAAACAAACAAATTTCATCATTCCGTGTTTTATGAAAATATTTTAAATATTTATTTTAGGTTTTTCGAATCTGTTCATGAAATTGAATTAATTATTGTTAAATTAATCAATGAAGCAATGATAAAAGCAGTAACAATAGAACAAATAATTGATATTCTAGAAATATTTGTTAATTTTCAATCACGAACTGTATAATTTTTGCTATAATCATTCATTGAATTTTTCTTGTTTTGTTAGACTATTAATCATATTCTTATTGATAAAACTCGTGATGTTTATCGTCTATTTCTTACTCAAATCGAAGATATTCGTGCTCAAATAGCTTCTCATCAAATATTAGACGATATAAAAATTGCTAGAAATTTTTTTGATCTATTTCTTCCACGTTATCCAGCTAAAGCTATGTGGATTCATAATTTAATTCAACGTGTAACAAAAAATTATTATCTTCTTAATGAATCATCAAATTTACCATATGTTATACAAAAAAATGAAATCAAATTAGCTTATGAAAAATTATTAATATTTGCTGACAATACAGAAAAACGTATCTATCAAGAATGGTGGACAATATCCAGTGATTTACAACCAAAAAAATTATTATTAAAACCATTTTTAAAAGAAAATAATGAAAAAATATATTTAATTGATGTTTATTTTGATCCACAAATAATTATTGCATTAAATGAAAGTCTATGGTGGATTAGATTAAGTTATGAAATACCTTATTCACTAACTGATGTTTATAATACAAGAAAGTCATTTCGACAAATGAGAGAAGAAACAAATGGATTTATTCGAAAATTTGATAAGTAAAAACGAAAAAATATAAAAACAAAATAGAAGATTTTTAATCTATCCGTTTAGAGCCATTGATTCTCTTAATGATCAAGAATTATGTTTATTTGAAGAACGTATTCGAATGATTTTAAAAAAATTACAACCTGGATTTGTTGGTAAAGTAAATTATGTCGAAGAAAATACATTTCATGATTTTGCTCTTGAAGCAAATCGTATTATTGATCAGGTTAATTAAATTTCAAATAATTATTTAAATATATAAATTTCATTTTATTTATTAGCTAATTGACATGGTTACATCATTCAAAGACAATTATGTTAAATGTTGTGCTAAATGTGTTACGATTAGTCAACAATTATTTATTAAAATTGATTTTGGTATTATATTTAATTTTACAACATTTGCTGAATTACTTGTAAGTTTTAATATTGAATTGCGATTGATTTCTTTTGTTTTTATTAAATCTAGAAATCGGTTACTCATGCAAGTCAACATCTTATTTATGAAATGTATGAAGAAATGGCAGTTGGGATTCGTGTGCAACAGATGATATTCAAAGATGATCCAGATAAAGTAATGTATCTTTTAGTACCTACTTTTATGGCAACAGACAAAGCTTTAATGCTGATGATCTTTGTAGCTAAGATACCCGCTTCGATTAATCATTGAATAACCTAGGATGCATAAGTATCCGCACAAATGTTGAGACCTGTTGTGTTCAAACGAAAAAGACTAGAAGCCTGACCTTTTAGTCACCGATATGGCAACATATTTATTTCAAGATTCATGTTTAAAGTAAAATTTAGGAAGCAATATCCATTTCAAAATATAATGTATTCCAAAATTTTTTAAATAATTTTTGATAGGCGCATTGTAGAGATCGGTGTTTTTCCTCTATTAAGAGGAAAGACTCAGAACCATTGAAATAAATCAAAATTTCAATATGCACCAATTAATGAATCAACTGAATTCTTGGTTCAAATTTTCGAAAACGTTATTCTAAAACTATTTTCTTTTCAATCTAGTCTCTTAATAGATCTAGTCGATAGAAAAAATTCTTCTCCTTTCATCTACACATGGCCAACATTTCTACCCTGTTCCATTCGAGAGTTATAAAACTATTCCTGAGGTGTCTGGCTTCAGCCAACTGACCTGTAACCACTCGAAAAAACAGCTAGCCAACGATAATTCACCATGATGAATTAGCCCTATCTAGATGCTTTTTCGGGTAATCACAGATCAATTGGCTGAAGACAGGGATTTCAGGGAAAATCGTATAACTTTCGAACAGAACAAGCTAGGAATGTTTGCCTTGCGTAGATCGAAACAGGCATTTTTTTTCTATTGGTCAGTCTGTTGAAAGGCTAAACCAAAAGAGATATAGCTTCAGAATATTGTTTTCGAAATTTTTCTTAAACGGAGAAAATCACCCATCTTGATCGTATTTCTATGAAAATTCATTCAAAAGATGGCAACTCGCTCTTTTATTTGAATGAAACGATAGAAAAATATTTAATTTTTTCCCCTTCTTCTTTTTGCATTTTCTATGATATACAGGTTCTTCAATGTTGGGATCATTGGTTAAGTTCAATTGATTGTATGTTTGAAAAAGCTCTTCTTATTAATATAACAAATTCTCTTGAACAATTATCCTATATAATCAATGGTGACATTCAAACAAAACCAACACCATTTCTTAATATTGAACTTTGTTTAAACACAGTCGAAACAACATCTGGAAATATTAAATATGTGGTAAGTTCTCCATCGTATTAAACTATCGATAATTGAAACCATTTAGTTGGATTTTCGACCATCACTTGAACAATTATCTGAAACTTTAAATTCAGTAAGCAAAATTCAATTAATTGAATCAATTAAAAATTTCGTACGTCTATGTGATCTTTTTTCTTATCATCCATTTCAAAGAGAAGTAATTCAATTATAAATCTAGTTCTATTAATTAATGATATATCTTTGATATTCTAGCCTTATTATATTGTGATTGAGAATTATTCATTAAAACAAAAATTAGAAAATAAAATTGCTTTAGGTATAACTAATTGTATATCAGAAATTGAAAAATATATTGAAAATAATTGGTTTCATTTTCGTCAATTATGGGAAGTTGATAAAGAAAGTTTTATAGCTGTGTATGAATCTGAAAACACTGATTTACAAGGTTTAGAAGCTGATATAGCTCGGTAAATCATTTTTTTTGTCGAGTTTACGAACATAAAAGCGATCTTATATTTTCTTTGAAATATTAGTTATACAGAATTAGCTAATAATATAAATAATCAAGAATCAATTGTTAATATACATATGATACAAATCGATTGTATATCATTTAAAGTATCATTAGTACAAATTTGTCATGAATGGCAACAAAGTTTAATACATATTGTATTAGTTCGGTTAGAAAAAGATCTTCAAATGATATCAACATTAATTAAAGATAATACAGAAAAGTAAGTTGAATCAATCATAACTATGTTTGTCATAATATTACATTTTTACCGATTATGAAATATCGGATTTGTCAAATATCATTGGTGGTTAGAAGATTGAGCCGGTTAGATTAGTTTTGATGAACTCGGTCAGGTCCAAGACCGATTCAGTGGATCATCCAGCGACTATTTAACTTAGGTCAAAAAATTCATTTAAAATTAGAAGTATATACATATATATATTCTTGACGTTTGATTAGAGTGAATATTCTTCCAAAAATTTATGATGAAATTCCAATCTATCAAGAATTTATCGATGAACTTAAATCCGATGTATTAAGAATTGAAGCAAAATTTCCTTTAATTAATGAAGAAGTTGCTTTATTACTTCGATATGAAATTGAAATTGATTCGAAAGTTAGTTGTTTTCTTGGTTTTTTTATTGACCGAATTCAAACTTTTATGTTTGTTTTTGAAAGCTTTTAGAACAATATCGTTTATTACCGCGTGTTTGGAATAATTATAAAACATTTCTTGATGAATCAATAGCTTCATTTAAACGTGTTAAAGTAATCTAAACTTAAATATTATTGTATTGTTGTTGTTTTGTTTTGACTTTCAGGAAGCTTTTAAAATTCAATTACAAAAAGAACAAGAGAAAAATCTTAATGAAATATTTGAATTACAAAAATATTTTAAAATTACTGGTCCACATCAAGCTGACATATCTGTGTCAATTGCTTTGAATAAATGTGAACAAATCGAAGAACAGATTGAACAGATGGAAAATGATGAAAAACGTTTAAAAATTGCTTATCGTATATTTAATTTAGATATGACTGTTTCGAAAAATTTACAAAATCTAAAGAAGGTTCTTATTTTTATTTTTTTTTTATTAATATAAAAAAGATAATAATCTGTATACATTGGAAAAAACGATTTAGGATATTGAAATACTTAAATCAATTTGGTTGTTAGCTAAAGAATACGAAGACATGCTAAATAAATGGAAAACAACGGAATTTTATCAATTAAATATTCATGAATTAAACGATTTTGCTCAAAATCAATATAAAAAATTGCTGAAAATGTCAAGAGAATATAAAGTAACGTTGAGTGAATTGCAGATTTTTGATACGATTGGAATTTCAACTATATTATAACAATTTGTTATATATTAGTAGTCTCTGAGCGTTTCACATACACAGAGAATTTCAGCACTCTAACTTATATCACCATTGACTTCTGACGTTCACGGTGTGAAAAAATCATATTTGATATGAGCTTAATATGTTAATACATCTTTCCCATGCCTATTCGTTCGAAATACTATATGACAGATACTTCTTTGTTTTCGAAGAGAACCATATTATTTGTCAGTCTTATTCGTCTAGTGTCAAGTTGAGGGAAAATGAAGTTGTTGGAAAGAAGATGGTTTCATTGGAAAATGAAACTAATGAAAAAGTTATTTCTGATTGACTCTTCCATTTGGTGAGAAAAACGATCTTTTTTTAAATGTCGTCGCATATAGCTTTAGAACAGCTGATTCGTTTTCGCTAAATTTTTTTTATCTAAATTTAGATCTTACAGTTGCATTATTAGTAAATAAATTAGTTATCTAGTACTTATGCTTCTCGAGAAATTCACATTATACAACAGAATGTAGGACGACATTTTTTATCTAGTATTCCAAATAATGAGTTGTTTTTAAATTTGGACTCTTCGTATGCGGTGCAGTTCAGAAAGATATGAAAAATCTTGAAAGGACAAGTCATATTAGGTCTTCTATTCGGAGTTGTAAGCATTTTACAGAAATTAGCATTGCTGACACGATAAATAACAACAAAGCGAATAATGACATTTCAACCTAAGATGTTGAACATAGACAGATCTATTTGTGAGTAATGTATCTTGAAAATTTCAGCTGAAAAGAATGGTTCCTTTGCGAGACATGAAAATCCCAAAGAAACAAGTGAAATTTTTAGTACATTCAACTGACAAAGAGATCTATGTGTAGACAAAAGTCTTAGGTCGAAATACTATTATTCGACTTATTACTATATACATCATGTCAGAGGCTAAAAGTTCCTCAAAATACCGATAACTGTGGATAGAAGGTCTCAGAGAATTAATCTTTTTGAGGTGTTTCATACATCACTGAACTCTATTTTATACACTAAGTCCAAATTCAAAAGTGATTGATCAGTTAAAAACGTTTCCTCGCGAGACTAAGTCAAAATGGATAGTCTTTTACATCATTGAATCAGTTTCATTGTGGATAGTTAGCCTACTTTTATTCCAAGCATAGGTTCTGAATTCAAAAGTATTTTTGTCTAATAGACTTAGCATGACTGGCTATAGCCTATAGAAAGATATTTTTTGTGTGATATTTTAAGTAATAGTGAACTGAGATGAATTACGTTTTATCTCACTGTTGACGAAAATGTAGGAAACATTTAGTGTACAACATAGACATGGAATATAGTAAAATCTATTACTCAGACATTATTTAGATCTACTTTCAACTTTTATTGCATCAATCGTATCGAAAAGTTGCAATTTAATCTCATGAATGTTATTTAAAAAATGAGAAAGAATTTATTTAGGAAAAAGATTGGAATATTCTTGATTCACTTCGTGATCGCATTGATACATTTCGTCGTATATTACCTTTAATTGAATCATTACATAATCCACATATGCGTTCTCGACATTGGGAACAAATAAAATATGAAACAGAAAAAAATTTTGAATACAAATCAAATAAATTTACACTTGAACAAATTCTTGATTTACATTTGTAATTATTGATTAAAAGACACTGTTAGATATATAGTGTTATCTTTTGTTTATTTAGTGAAGAGAATATTCAATTGATTACTGAAATATCAGAAAATGCATCAAAAGAATATTCAATCGAACGATTATTAGAAAGAATTGTTCAAATATGGAATGATATGAGATTTGACACGACAATGCATAAATCGAATGTTTTTAAAATAAAGTATGATGATTTAATTTTATATTCAAATAAAATCATAAATAAATCCAATAAATTTATCTTTTGAAAAAGTTGATAGAGATAGTTATGTGGGATCATATAATAATACCTTGGTTATGGTTACCGAGGGAACCTCTCAAAGTGATAAAATTTTGTTAAATTCAGACGTCTGCTGTTAGGATGAGTCCACTCAGAGTAAACAAAATCTATGATGGTCTATTTTCTAATTATTTTTTTCACAAGTTATGACTATTTTGCTCACGTTCTGGCTTAGTACACAGGGCATATCCTGAAAAATGCAATACTTTCATTTCATCCTGAATCTTTTTCAAGTAAGAGGTCTTATGATTTCTATTATATACCGAAAGTTTCACCTAGAACGAATATTTGGTTCCCAGGATAACAGATTTAAAAGGAAATTCCATGTTATCAAATCTGTTGTAAAATATGCGCTTTGGTTGAGGGTCTAACATGGTAAAAATGATACATTCGTTCGAGATAAAACTTTCGATGCATGATAGGAATCTTGAGATCTCTTCAGAGTCAACATTTCATAATTTCAATAGCTTTTTATTACCTCAAGAGGTTCTCTCCTAAGATGATTTCTATCAGCTGATCAGAATGAGAGTTGATGTCAATGATTTTGTTCATTTTCTTAGTAATATTATACATTTAATGAGAAACTACAGTTTTCCAATAGCATTCGTATATCGACCACATGGTATCGAAATTGATTGTCTGAAAATCTTGTATTAATGACTTCCTCTTTGTTCTGTTACGAACCATGACAAATACTTGAGTATTGCCTCTTCTTTCTCATTGTCCATAACAAGCATACTCACAAGATCGCAGTTTATTACAGACTCAGTATGAAACATCGCTGAATTTAATGTAACTATCCTTTATTCTTCTTTTCATACGGACTGTAATATATAAAGATAATCATCTTTCATAACCCATATGCATTAATAGTAGATACGAGTTCTCAAACCGAAACTTGTATTGATAAATTGTTTCTTTTACACTGTTAACAACTTCATGATACTTCATATTTTAATTTCGAAAGAATGGTTCTAACAGTTCTTCTTGCTTTTTGTCCTATGCATAGAGCTCCTGATGAAGTAATTCAATATGTCGAAGAACATACAGCTCAAATTTCAACAATAAAAGGCACACGTCATGTAAAACCATTTCAAAATGAAGTTGATTATTGGGAAAAATCAATAGCACAAATATCAGAATTATGTGATGGTTTATTTAATGTTCAACGCCAATGGTTATATATGGAAGGTATATTTACTTCTGATGATGTTCAAAGACAATTATCACGTGAAACAACTGAATTTAAATATATTAATATGATTTGGCAAGATGAAATTATAGCTAAAATTCGTGAAAATTCAAATGCATTATATGTTGCAACAAAACTAAGTTTGTAACAAAACAAAAAAAAACCTATATAAATTTTTTTCTCACTTAGATTTATTTGATAAAATACAAAGTTTATTAAAATATTTAGAAAATATTCAAAAAAAAATGGAAGATTATCTGGAAACAAAACGTGCAATATTTCCACGTTTTTATTTTATATCAAATGAAGAATTAGTTGAAATTCTTAGTCTTTCACGTCAACCCGATCTTATTCAAATACATTTAAAAAAACTTTTCGATAATATTAAATATCTACGTTTATTAATTAAAAAAACAATTCTAGCTAATGGAATTCAATCAAATGAAGATGAACAAATTAATTTAATATCAACATTATCTTTAGAAGGTAATGTTGAAAATTGGCTTAAAGATTTAGAAATAAAAATGCAAATTACTGTACGTGAATATTTAAAAAATTCTTTATCAGCACTTAAATTACAATTAAAAAAACGTGATAAATGGATTAAAGATTGGCCTAGTCAATGTTGTGTAACTGCTAGTGAAATTGAATGGACATCAGCAACAACAAAAGCTTTATTAACATGTCAAGCTGATGGAAGTTTGAAACCATTAAAAAAATTATTTCGTACTCAAGTAAGCATTGTTAAGTTTTATATATAAATCTATTGACTTTTTGATGAAACAAATAAAACTACATTGAAATTCTCGCAATGATTGTAAGACTCATCCAAACATCAACATTGAATATGAAGATAGTATTATAAAAATTATTTTCTCACCGACAGTTTGGCTTGTTATGCTGGCTAAAAATAATCATTCCCATCATTTATTCTTTTATTTCATAAATTAAAACAAAATTGATTCATGTGAAAAAGAATCAGATAAGAACATTTTATGAAACAAAAGGAGAATTTTTTAATCTAATCTGAAGAATTTCGATAGACTAGGTAACTTATGTAGTAATATGCTTAAACCAATCGAAAATGTCGATAATTTATCGGTAAATTATTATTATTCAAATTTTATGTCTTTATTCGTTATTATGCTTAGTATATTTACCTGCTCTTCAGTAGAGAAAGTTTTGAGTCAACGGAAAGATTAAAGAGGAAATATATTGAACTATCGGGCGTTGTTTGAATTCATATCATGACAACGAATAGATCGCTTTGGGACTAAGAAAATAATAAAACGATTTGAGCTCACGATCTAATGGCGAAGAGTTATGGGTATTTTAATGAAATTTTTATTGACAATAAGGTATTTTCGAAAAATCCACAATAAATTGTTTCAATCTGAACCTTGATCTATTGGTAGATTTAATATTTATTAGAAAGGACTATCTAATAATTACTAAATTTGCTTATAGATAACGTTTCAGGTTGACATTCTTTGTTTTAGTTTTTTTTGTTTGTTTGAGAATACCTTGGTCTCCATAAAAACTTCATGAAATCAGCCATAACTCTTCATCAGTAGGTCATGAATTCGAATACTTTTAAACTTTTCTTAGTCTCAGCGAAATCTACACGTAGCCATAGTATGCAGTTGAGCAATGTTTGACAGTTGGATACGTTTCCTAAGTAAATGAAACTGTCCAAAAAATATTACAATGACAATATGCGACAACGCTAGGAAATTTTTCAATGTATGCAAGATTCGATTCATGGCTGTCTATTGAGATTTGTGATCTGTAAAACTGCTTTTTTCTAATATTCAGTAGTCTAGAAGTAGAAGCAATGTTGAATATGATAATTTCGAAACATTCAAATACTTGTCAATCTATCAATCACTTATTTTCATTGATTATAGATTAAAATTCTTGATCGATACTCGGATATGAGTCGTTTGTCACTTGATAAAATACTTCGTCTTCGTGTTATTGGTGTTATTACTAAAGAAGTGCATGGACGTGATATTATCGAACGTTTAATTAAAACTCAAACAATGGATATACAATCATTTGAATGGCAAATGCAATTAAGATTTTATTGGGAACGACATGAACATAATGAAGATTGTATTATTCGACAAACAATAACAAGATTTACTTATAACTATGTATTTATTCCATATTATTTGTCAAGGATTTATCAAAAAAAAACAATGAAATTTTGTAAAATAGGAATATTTAGGTTGTACCAGTCGTTTAGTTATTTCACCATTGACTGATCGATGTTATATTACTCTTACAACTGCTCTACATTTATTTCGAGGTGGAAGTTCCAACGGACCAGCCGGTTTGTTACTAAACGGTTTCTTTTAATCTCTACATATACATATATATGTTTATTTATTGTAAGGTACTGGCAAAACTGAGACAATAAAAGATTTAGGAAAAAATTTTGCTATTTATGTTGTTGTTCAAAATTGTTCGGAATCACTAGATTATAAATCCATGGGAAAAATGTTTTCAGGTTTTGCTCAGGTTTGTCTTTAGTTTACTCTTACGAGGAAACTACCTGAATGGATAACCATCGTTCAAGCTCATCTTAGATTCACAAAAAGGTGTTGATAAGACTAGAAAAGTCTTACAAGAGTTCGTAATAATGGAGTTCTGCCTATAGATAGGTCTCGTGACTTTGGTAATATCCTGAAAGTTTCAGTTGGAAAGAATGTTCCTTTGTCGAGATATAGAATTTTCAAGTAAATTTGATTTTTGTGACAAACAACCATAATTTTAGAAATTCAAGACCTAAACAAAGGAACATTGTTTTCGACTGACATTTTCAAGATATACTCGAAGTAAATAAGACCTATCTATGAGCAAAATTTCAGATTGAAAATTCAGTAAAATAGTCATAACTTGGCTGAAAAGATCTATAGGTACGAATCGTTTTAGCATTTTTCCAGACTTACTGAGACTTTCTTGTGATCTCAATATGAGCTTAGACTTCGGGTATCATCAGTTCGGTTAGTCCACTCATTAATGCAAATAGATCCGGCATAGTTTTCTTTTTTTGTAGAGTGGTACATGGGGATGTTTTGATGAGTAAGTTATGTAATTTTAATCAAATATCAATAGGTTTTCTATTTCTCGCTTGCGTTAGATTTAATCGTATTAATGTCGAGGTATTATCAGTTGTTGCTCAACAAATTCATTCAATCTTAACAGCTTTATCATTGAAACAAAAACGATTTGTATTCGAAGGCAAAGAAATTTCACTTTTACCTCAAGTTGGCATTTTCATAACAATGAATCCAGGTTTTTCTATAATGTTTTTAATTTCATTAAAAAATAAATAATCATTTTTAAGGTTATGCTGGTCGAACTGAATTACCAGATAATTTGAAATCAATGTTTCGACCAGTATCAATGATTGTACCAGATTCAATTTATATTGCAGAAAATTTTCTCTTTAGTGAAGGATTTCAAAATACAAGAGTAAGAAAAAACGAACGAACAAAAGAAATTCA